TTTGGAAGGTTTCAGTTTCTGGTTTGCTTTTTTTTTTTTTTTCCTCCCTTTCCATGAGAAAGAAAACTAAAATGTTTCAAAAATACCCTTGCTGCTTGAAAGTTTAGATGGGGTGGGTGACTTTGGCCCACAAGTTTCAACTTCTGCTCCAAGATACTTGTTCAGGCAAAGGGCTGGTACAGCCCCTTTAAGGAGCTGTAACAAGAGCTGCAAATCAAACAGTTCTCTAACAACTGGGTCAGTGTATATAGAAAGACTTTCAAATACAGTTATTTATTCAGTCTCCTGCTCTAAGATTAGTCCCATTATGTGCCTCCTATGCACTCCCTTCCAATTCATTCAATTTAAATAAAAACTTTCGCCTAGAACTCATGTACAGTGACATTCATCTAAATAAAATATCCCAGGCACTTGAGTCTCAGGAACAGTCTTATGAAGCAGCAGATCATATTCTATTTATTTGGAAATGTGATGCATGTTGATGTTGGGCTTATCTCAAAATAATGCCAAAATGTTAAAATCTTTATGAAATCTTAACATTAAATTTTATGAAGACAGATGTTTGCTGGGATGTGATACTGAGGGCTAGGACCAAAATAACTCCTGAGGGTAAAAAACCCACAATATTGCCATAGTGGGGAATAGGGAACAAACACAAACTCAGGGCAATCAGACCTGTCTTTTTTATAATTTTTATCATTTTTTGCTTGATGTTAGTAATATAATGTAAGTTATATACAGTGCTGTACTATTTTGGTAGTGCTTGTTGGGTGAACACACAAATATAATCTTTCTTTTCTTTTGATGTGCTGAATTTTTTCCTAGAGAAGCTTGGTAAGTCTTTTCTCCCAGTCAGAGGTCTGAAGAAATTGAGTAAGCTTAGATAAACCAGCTTGTTTAATCACTGAAACACAGGAAAAATTAAAATACATTTTTTCCTTGTAAAGTAGAGGAAAGCAATAAAAACATTGCCAGACGTTTAATGCCTCTCTTGTACCTTTCATTTCAAAGACCTCAAAAGAACATCAAGAAGAATAAAGGCAAAATCTATTCCCTATTGGCATCATTATAAATGTTGTATCCTCTGAAACTCTAAAGACGTCCAAGAAGAGTAGAAGAATAAATGGCAGTGAAATAAAGAAAGTCCCTCTGGAGCTTTGTTCAATCGGCTTTGTTAGAATTCACTCAAATAGGATGATTATAAGAAAAGATCTCATTTGTTTCAACATTAAAGGAGCAAATTAATATGTGGCAAGCTGCTAATAATTGCCTCATTATGTAGTGAATGGGCATTGCGTCCAATTTACAAAATCACAATCATATTGTTAAAGTAACAATTGAGAAAGTTTAGTCGGAGTTGCCTAACTATCTGTGTGATTAGCTGTGGGATCCAGAGTGGAACAGAGTTGGTGGTTGGAGAGAGCTCTCCACCGGTCTATTGTGCTAAGGAGCCACAAGAGAAATTCAGCTTTTCATTAGTGGAAATTCCATCTGCAGAGGACCTGAGCTGGGTTTGGTCCAGCTGAGGAGTGGATCTGGCAGTCTGTGCTGAGACCAGAGCCTGGTGTGTGTCTAGCCTGTCCAGATATTGTTCTGTGGTCAGAGTCCTGGCCTGAGATCATCCCCACGTGGACTTCAGCAGATGTACAGGGCTGTGGCTGGGAAACTTGGTGATCCAAGATCTGTGCCATTGGGAAATCTACCCGTAAAAATAGTTCTGTAGTTGGAATTTCAGTCTCCTGGTGGAGACACTGGAAGTGGTGGGGGAGTTGTCAAATTTGGAAAGTAAGCAATTTTCCAAATATTGAAATCCTGTGTGGAAGAGAATCATGTTTTGTGACCTACTTTAGTTGGATTTGCTTGTGACCTTTTCTAATTCTGGCTGATTTTGTTATTTAATGATTTGACCTTTGATTCTGTGAAGCCACTTCAGTGCTAAATGCAAAGATTTAATAACTAGAACTGTTTGATAAGTGACCTTTATTACACAGCTATTTCTCTTTGCTAGAGAAATGGCACTGTTTTGTGAGTTCTAATTCACAGTTTTAATTATCTTTTCTATTGTCTGTAAGCTTGCACAGGAAATGGAAAGGTCAGACATTTCATTTTCTTTACTGATTAAAATGTAAGTGTTCCTCAACAGTTACAATGTATGAGTCAGGAAAAAGATGGGACTATTTGTCAGAACCATACCTAGCTACTCTGCTGAGGTCTTCTACATCCTTCTGGTCAGCAACAAAATGAACAATTTTCTAGCAGCAGTAATAGCTCAGCCCCCTTGCTGTTTAGAGGTGGGATAAATGTCTAAGTACATGAAAAGAGAAGAAAACCTGAATGGTTCTTAATGTTTTTGTCTTTAACTTGTGTATGTGTGATGCAAGTGAATGAAGATCTTGTGAGAGGTGAACCTTGGCCTGATTTTCAGGGTTCACAGAGGATAAGCAGTAACAGAACAAGTTTCAGTGTGGTCCTGCCAGTCTGTTTCAATCCCACTGCTGCTGGACCATCTCTGCAGATGAGAGGGCAGCCTGGACTGCCTGGCAGACCCATTTGTATTGTATGTGGATAAATGTGTGTCACTGGAACCACCCTTCTCCTCTGTAACACTTAGAAACCAACCCCACCAACTGGTGGCCTGTCTTCATATGGGGCTCAGTGAGTGAATATTGATGTGTGTTTTCTCATATGTTGAGGGAGATATGATGCAAAAAGATGATGAAGGCAGTGGATGATTCTGGAATCAGTGGAATATCTATCATGGGTGTCAGTCTCCTAACTCTGTCTGGGATCTCTGTTGGGAACTGTGCATACTGGGACATGTAAAATCTCTACATTGTAAATATATTTATTGTGAGATAGAGCTGGGAGGGGCTTAGCCTCTGGCTCTGTTCAAGAAGAGCAGATTATATGTTGACCTGGTGTAGGCATGCAGTATTATGAAAGCACTTTATAAATTGGAACAAGATAAATGAATCACAACAAAAGAGCTAGAAAACCAGGGAACACAGTTTCAGGAGTGAGTGTACTCAGCTTATTCAAGCAGAGCAGTTGCACTCAGTGAATAGAAAATGTGCAATGCATTTCTAACTAAGGGGAGGAAATTCAAACAATTCCAAATTTAAGAGAGCAGTTCCATTTTAATGGAGAAGGAAGAATTTAGTGAAAAAAGCAGCTCTGAGGATGAGACAAATTTAAATAGAACCAAATTCTTGACCAAATTGGCTTTTCCTATCTAGCAGTTTCATATTCAGCATTTGTTATTTTGAAAGTTCACCCTGAAAGCTATAAATTAATCTACTGGGTCTGTAACAATTCACTTCATGCTGGAAAATGAGTTATGCTCATGGATTTGTTTAGGTCATCCAGCCATGTCCTCGTAATGTATCTTAGAGAGAATTTCTGTAAGTAAGCAGTAAACAGAAAGAGTGCTGTGTTCAGCTGCATCTCCTGGGATTTCATCCCTGCTCTCAGAGAGCCATGCAGGACAGCTCTCTAAAACTATACTAGCTATAGGAAATGCGTGGTGTTCTGTAAAGGAAACATTGACAATGCTTTTGCATTCAGTCAGGAATCTTTAGCTACTGATTTAGGAAATAATGTTTTCCTGAACCAGCCACATAATGAAATCAAATCAATCAAAACAGAGAAATCAAAGCTTTGAAATTGTAAAGTTTACTGCACAAGTCATGCAGGATGCACCTTAATTCAGTACAATATTTGTCACCCAAAGATGAGACATTTTAGCTCTTACAGTTTGGCTTTCTTAAGATGTTTATCTCTTGTCCTTGCATTATTCTCCCTTATCAAAGAATTCGGTTTTTTGTCAGCAATTGCATCCTGGGTTATAGTGGTCAAATGTAGGCAGGCAATTCATCTACATCAGCTAAATGAGGTGTGATTTTGAAGAGAAATAACCACAAGTCTGATCAGAAAAGCACCTAGCATCCTGTCAGAGTAAATGTCCAAAGACCATGAAGGGAATTTTTTCTAAAATATACTAAACTGAGGTCACTGGCTCCCAGCTGTGAGCATGACAGAGGATCAAATCTATTACTATACGAAAATTGTAGGTTATCTCTGACCTGGATGATCTTGTGTGGGTTTTTTTTTTTGATGGATCTAGTTTTCATTTGATTTCAGTTTTTAACTGAACTCTTTATGCAATCCAATTTAATTAGAGGGCATTTCATTTTAGTCTGTAGGTACAAAACAACAAACAGACATTTACTCTTTGACAAATGGAGCATCAGATAGGTCTTTATATCTCTGTTAGAATATTTTTTCTATTTTCCATTCATACTGGAATAATAGCACCCTAGAACATGGTCACAGAATACTGTCTTTGACTACAGTTTTCTCAGGATTAAGTTCCTAGTTCAGGTGTCACCGGTCCCTCTACCTCTCATTTTCCATGGATCATAACCACTCTCTGGAGAGAACAACATACTCCTCTGTCCACATCTTCTTTCCAACTGCAAGATTTTCATACTGTTAGATTGCTTTTTAGAGATACATTTCACGTTCGAACTTTTGTCACAAATTTGGGAACTATTCATTCAGACACAAACACAGTTAATGTACAGTTAAACTTCCAGCATTACTTTTTTTCAGTAGGTTTTTTTGTATTGCTGACAACACCTTGTTCAAAGAGAAGCTATTGATCTAAATATTGCTTTCCACTATTTCTTTATTTCCTTGTTTTTAAATGAAAAGAGTAACATTTAGAGGGAAAAAAGAAATTATTATTTGTATAGTTGACTTTGCAAGGTGGGAACAAAGGCAAAGATTGGAGCTGCCTATTTCACTGAAAAGGTTTGCATTTGTAGCGGTAGAGTTTTCGAGCAGCTCTGCTAGATGGTGATTGTGGTTTTGTTTTTCTAAAGAGAAGTGTTGCTATCCATTTGTTGTACTGTACCTCTTTTTCTTTTTAACTGAATTTTCAGTCTTCATGTTTTACAGAGAAAAACTTGCAATGTAAATTATTGCTTCCTGTCTTCCAGCCTCTACAACTTGACTGTGACCTCTGTGCCATTGTTTCAAACTCGGGGCAGATGGCTGGCCAGAGGGTGGGCACTGAGATAGACAAGTCCTCCTGCATATGGAGGATGAACAATGCTCCCACCAAGGGCTATGAGGAAGATGTTGGGAGGAGGACAACCATAAGAGTGGTCTCTCACACAAGTGTGCCTCTCCTGCTCAAGAATCCCGAGTACTTTTTCAAAGAAACCAACAACACCGTTTATGTGATCTGGGGTCCTTTTCGAAACATGAGGAGGGATGGGAATGGCATTGTGTACAACATGCTGAAGAAAACTGTTGACAGCTACCCAACTGCCAAAATCTACGTGACAACGGAGAAGCGCATGAGTTACTGCGATGCGGTGTTTAAGAGGGAGACGGGAAAGGACCGGTGAGTCTTAAACGTGAGGAACAATTATAATAATGTTTGACAAAAGATACGTGAGAAAAGTCCATGCAGGATGTCAGCTACTAAATGAGTCCCCAGATATGTTTTTAATGGATTGTTGTATGGGTTTGACTGTTATAAGCACTTGATGAGGCAGCAGCTAGGCCCCATTTACCCCACCTACGCTACCTTCTGTTCATGCCATTGCTGTTGGCGTGAATCCCAAAAATATTGGAAGTCTTCCTGAAATGTTTTCAAAGCTGTGTGTTGTTTTCAGCTCAATTTACTATTGATTAAATTGACATTTTATTTGAAGAGGATAATCCTACACAAACAACATTTCCAAATGCACAACCTCAGGATAATTCTGGATATTGCATTTTCTTCTCTGCTGAGATTCACTGCAGCTTTTCTTCAAACACAGACCTCAGTGTTATGCATTATTTCTGTTTCTTGGTGAAAATGGGTTATCAGACGTACTGGAATAGATTTAGGTTTTTACCAGTATTATGCTGAAATTCTATTTTCTATGCTTGATAATGTGTATTTATGCTACTCAAGTGGGGCTGTAAGAAGTGAAGGTGTGAGAACTGTTTGGGCTAGCATGTTCAAAGCAGAAACTGGATTTGTGGAATTAAGACCACAAATTTCAGGAATTTGTAACCAAGCTGCAAAAATTCAGGTAATCTGTATTTTGGCATGGAAGAGCACCTGTCACACATACTCACCTGAGCTAACTAGGAAGGAGTTTCCAGATCACTGCTGTGCCTTAATATTAATTTTTAAATTTATGCATCATGAATTTGAGGTTGGAAAGGACTGTTGCTATTCTGACCAAATTAAAGATACAGGTTTTCACAAACAGCTTAACATAGTCTGAATTTTTGACTTAGCTTTTGAAGTAGAAAAGCTTGTTATCTCAAATGTACTTGTTTCACTATGTTATTAAACTGTCAGAACTTGGTGGCAGTTGATTTTTCCTATTTTTCAAACTGTTGGAGCATAAGGAGGAGCCTGCCCCTGTTCACCAAGTGCACATATTGCTGCTGTGGTTCTGGAGTTGGAGGGGGTTCATATATCTCATAAAGGTATCAAGGTTATCATGGCTTCTTTAGTTTCACTGAGCAAACTGATAACCAGAGGCTAATAAATACACAAGATCCCTTCTTGAAAAATGACCTTTAATAATCCAAGTCATCCTGTTTACATATTAATCAAGCTAAATATGACCACGGGTACGTTATTGTATTGCTGTACATAAATTTGTTTATATTTATGAGTCAGTCAGGTCACAGCGACTTTACATTACTTCATCAAAATCCTTATTGTGAGATTAGACCTTGAAAAAATATCCTCTTTTTCCTATGAAAGAAGGACATCTCATCATTCAATGTCAAAGTGTCCTTCTCTCCAGCCTAATCCATTCCTCTTCAACAAATTAACACATCTCAGGTTTTTATAGTTACGCAATTAACATGATACAAATGCTTCTTTTCATGTAAAAAACAGATTGAGTTTCTCTCAGAGCTTATAACAAAATTCTTAAACAACCTAATGTCAAAATGGCCTATGTTCTTTTTCCTTAAGTTTCACATTGCAACAGCAATAATTTTTTGTGAGCCTGTCTCACGTCCCTTCACGCTGTTTGTGCACCTGCGTCCCTTTGACACCAAGGGAAAGCTCACCACTTCTCACAGTGGCAACTAGGTAACATCCTTCTATCTATCTACTGAAACTTTCATTTTTAGTCCTGCTTTTCCACATCAAATACTTAGTGATGTTTTTAACATCATTTTGTGATTTTGTCATGCAGAAACAAGGGAAATGATTGATGCATGAAATGATGAACGCCTTCTGTATCTCAAGAAAACATCTTGCAGTTCCCTAGTAATCGGGGACTTCAGTTTGGAAACTGTTTCATTTTCTGTAACATCTTCAATTTGCAGGACCTGTCTTCTGTTTCTAGGGAGGGTCATGAGACTGTTATGTGGCATTTGTGGAAGCAGTAAATGGAGAGCACAGGAGATTTGTGGGTGATGAAAATACTTTCACACATTGTGCCAGGCTATTACGATGCTGAGACAGACTCGGGTTCCTCAGCCAAATATTCCTTCAGATCCTCAGAGAAACATCAATCCTTGCTTGGAATATTAGATTGAATAGAGGTCTGGTTCGACATGTTTGCAGCAAAAATTCTGGAAGGAAACCAATTTAAACTCATTTTTTAAAATGTACTGAGTGAATTGAAACTACATCTATTTTAGTTTAATCCTAAAATACTGTCTTTCTGTTCAGTGTATGCTATAGTGCATAGTAAGATTGCAGCAGATTTCTAGTCTGTCGAGCATTTAATGAGTTTTCTGTTTCTACTCTTTGATGTACAATCTTTTTAGGTAATTAGCGGGACTTTTCAGTAGTTTCATCCTTGTGGTACTCAAGTTTTTAAAAGATTTTGTGAGAAGCAGCTAACAGGTAGGTGCTGCAGTCACTTTTTTACTGCAGAAAAGCTCTGGTCCTGCAGTGCTGACATGGGAGCTTTATCCCTGACTTCACTGGGTGCAGCTCCAAAATCCACAGCTTTGGTAGTGATGAATGATTTATTACTGATGCATGGAAGGAACAAGAATTGCCTCTGAGTAACTTTGAACAAACAGTGGTTTTTATTTTGTAATGCATTTTTTAATTCTACAGTAGTACAAAATACCCTCTGATATGGGCTGTCCACAGTGGGTAATTAACCTTGCATGAGTGTTAAGAATCTAGGGAACATATGTTCTTTCTGAGAGTATTTGTTAGTGAAGCAGTTGAGTTCAAGGTGGGGAATGCTCATCCACTTTGAATAATTGTTGTACATAAATAATATTCATTACCAGACATTCACAATTTTTCATTAATGCATTTTACTTGGTACTTCCCTAGAGGGAGCATAAAGCTGGCAGCTTCTTCCAATACTTCACTAATGTGCTGGTGTATTATATATATATTTACTCAAGTGAAAGGATTTAAAGAGATATTAGCTAGTTACGAAATGTGCCATCTTTGTATGTACCTCAATCCAGATAAGTGGTTCTAAAGCCATCTATATCTCTGCCATGCAATACAAATATAATGCTATATGATATAATAACATTTAATTGGTAATAACAGAGAAAACTGTAGTCTTCATTAAAGCAGCAAAGCTAATTCTGGTCTGATAAAGTGTACTGAGCATCCCTAAATAGGTTTTAATTAGCTGGCACCAAAGCTTCACCACCCTTAGGGAGGGTAAAATTAATGGAAACCAGCAGCAAATAGATCAGTGCTACTGGATGTTCTTGCCTTAGGTGAAGGTGATGAGAAAGAAAGGAGTGTCTTTTAAGGATCATTTAGAAAACAGTCTGCGTTAAAAGTCACTTTCAACAAGCAATGCTACAATGAATCTGTGCTGGTATCAGCAAAGCAGTCTGATGTTTCCTGGACTGCAGGAAAACTCCCTTTGTGTTTCTACTCCATTTGTGTATCTCGGGCCAGCCCCTGGGCACTGCAGCTCCCAGTGAGGGAGGGCCCAGCCCCACATGCCCCTGGGGGCTGGCAGGGGGCTCAGAGCCCCCTGTCCCGCTGCACAGGGGAGGTGTCCAGCCCCAGCAAACAGCCAGAGCTGATGTGCTGGTGCTGCTCAAAGAACAGCTTAACCACGTGTTTGTAGTCACTCTTCTTGTGAGTAACTGCTGAAAAGAGCCTGCTGGGCTCTGCTGGAGAAATGTATCCTGAGCTCCTAAAATTCCCAGCAAGAGATGTGAGGTGGTGTTTGGAAACCCAGCCGGTTTGGTAGACAGAGGACTTTCCACATGCACTGTCTTAACTCTGACAGTGCTCATCCCATACCCAATCAGTTCAATTCAACAACATTTTGTAAAGATTATTAGCTACACACACGTCTTCAGGAGGCAGGTTCACTGAGCCACATTTGCAGTCAAATGACTGTTTCTGAAAGGCTTCTGTTGATACCGTGGACAATTCTGAAGAAACAAAATTGCTTTTGTGCTTCTCTTCCAGAAGTTCTTAGTTTCCTCAGTTCATGCCAGATGGTGCTATGTGTTAGGTTGTGAGAAAGCTGTTTTATCATTCAAGGCAGAAAGATGTATCATTCTGATCGCTGACTTCTGCATCAAGATTCAAAATTTGGGGTTGTGTTCGAGCTGCCATTTTACTCAGTTCTGCTCACTAATTATTTATTACTTCAGTGATATACGAGATCTATATTATATCTCTGTCATTTAGAGCTAGAAAATTACATTCATCTAAGGCTTGGATTGACACTGTTAAGACAACTGCAGTCATCACAGCTTCACCTCAGCTAATATGTACTTTTTCATGTGTCTGACTAATCTGCATGAAGCTATAGTCTTGTAAAAATGTCATTGAAATGAATAAATGAAATTGCATTCTCTGAGGTTCAGGTAGCTGCAGGTTCTATTGTTTGGTGATATTCCCTGTGAATTGAGGCAGTAAAGCTGTCAGTGTCCAGAATATCAGAGTTTTGTGCTGTGTTTCTGGTTGTTGGCTTGAATGAAATACTATAGGAATGATATTTTCATTTTTTGTCTTGCTTTCATATATATATTTTCTCTATCATATATGATAGTTTCTCTATGAAAGTTATTCGGAGGAAATATAAAAGATTAGCTAGTGTTGCTTAAAATTTGCAGAAAGCAGTTCTTCCTTGGGAAGCTGTGAACATTGACACTGAGTTTGGTTCAGAGAGTTAAATTCTGGCACTTGGGAAGTATGTCCCATCAGTACTTTGTATTAAAGTAATTTAAAAAAAAGGAATTTCTGGAAGATGAGTAAAAGTTAATTTCATTTTGAATAGAAAATGAGCAGAGTTAGGGAATATCAGTGTCTTTAAATTACAGAACTTTAGGAATAAAAGGATGAAAAAACTGATTCAGACTGACAGAGGAAATGTATAATGCCTGTTGGAACTTCTTTAAGGACAAAGATTAACTGTAGTTTACAGTTTG